CGAGGGGTGCCCGGAAATACACAGATTAGGTTGGGGTCAGGGTGGGTTCCCTCCCCACCCTTGGGTTATGGTTGGGCCCAGGGAGCTAGACACCGGTTTTCGGGTCCCCTTGGTTCAAATCTCAGCCTGCTCGTGAGGTGGGTCCACCTCCCCCCATCCTTAACCAGGGCCAATTTGTTTGAGGTTTGCGGAACTGCCCCGGGTCTATCCCCACTCACCCCGGGGTCCCTGGCCTCTCCACCCCACCACCCCGTTCATGCTGTTTGCCTTTTTCGGCTCTTGTCTCGGCCTCTTGCCTCTCGCCTCCAATCCTCCCTCATCCCCCCTGGGGAACCGCGTGAATACCCCCGTCTGGTCGGGGCGGGTTTGGTTGGCTCCCTCCTCTCCCAGATCCTGTATAGCCCCGTTGGGGTCAGGAACTGTTCCTTAGAGGGTCACCTCTCCAGTGCGTAACTCTGCTTTGGTGAACTTTCAACTCACCTTGCACGGTCGCCTTCTTGGGACGTGACGCTCACCCTCCTCCCGTTGTTGTGACTACGCCTGTGTTCTCGCTCCCAGGTTTCCAGGGGACCCTGTGTGGCCTTCTCGGGCACACCCTCCCGGCGGCCCTTGGACTGCTTGCAACCCGGGGAACCTGTTACTGCAATCCTTCTCTCTCCCGACGTCCTGACTTCACTCACTCCTTTCCTGTCACACACTCCCAGGGGTTAACGCCCGAAACCCTCTTCTGTCCCGGTCACCCCTTCGTGTTACTGTCCGTCCTTCTGCCCCGGCACATCCCCACCGTTGTCACGGCCCTGGCGTGGACCGAACCGGATCTGGCTTTTGTGACTGTCTTCGACACATCCACCTCCTGGTGTGGTCCCTCTCTCCCCGGCCGCCAGGCGGGTCCTGGGAACAGGTTGCACCCCAACCGCAGTCAGACGTGACTAGCCGCGTAAAACAGAAGGTTTATTAGACGACAGGACAGGTAAAACAGATGCGTGCGAAACATCAGCTGGCTTTTGGGGGCGGCACAACCCTGCACTTCCTCTGTCCACCCCCCAAACTGAAAACCTCCAGCCCCCCTCCTCTGGGTGTTTTCCCCCGGGGCATGTTGTTCTCAACCCTTCCCCCCTTGCGGGGGAAGGCCATCAGTTGGGAAACGTGTGTTGTGTGCACGGCTGCACACCCCCCACCCCGGGGAAACACTCGAGCCCCCCCGCCCCGAGCCGCTGCCAGAGGGGTGTGCAGGTCGCTTTCGGGAGCCGGCGCTGCCCAAGGCAAGCACTGACCCCCTGGTCCCCTTCTCCACCCCAACCCCCTGCCCCATCCCAGAGCCCACACCCCACCCCCAAACTCCCTCCCAGAGCCTTAGGCAGGGAGCGGGGGACTTGGACCCCTTCTGGGCACCACCACAAATTATCCAAACCTGCTGCAAGTGTCGGGATCTGCTGCTGCAGGGGTGAGTGTGGGGTGGGTGCGCTCCCCCCACCCCCCGCCCTCTTTTTTCCTGCACTTTTGCTGTGAAATTTACTAAAGTGAGCAGAAGGAACAGGGGATGCCAAGCCTGTAACTTCATCATGATCCCGCTTCCCTCCTTTACAAACGCACACATTAAAAACAAAGCCCTGACGCCCAGCCCCAACCCCGTGTCCCTTTGGTCAGAGGCTGCTAGCACAGAGCCGAGCTGGAGTCCCGCCTTTACCACACGCTCAGCGGGTTACACAGTCTGAGCTCGTTCGTTCTCAACAGGAGACCACATGGGAGCGACCTGTCTCTGGCTCCCTGTCACCTGCCTCCGAGTCCAGCAAGCCACGATCTCCGTCTGCTGGCGGGTCTCACACGACCAGCCATGTCACAGCCTTCGATGGAGGAGCAGAGCTGTGTACTCGTTCCTGGCCAGTAAACACACTCTCAGCCCATCCCAGCCAGCTGTCAATGTCCAGGTGTGAGGCATGTGTTGTTTGCACGAGATCCCTACGTACTGAGGCGGGGACAACCGCTCGGTGTCATTTTTCTGGGTTGACTTTTATGTTCTTGGCCCTGCTTCGCTGTTGAAAAGCTTGTCGTTTTCTGCCATGGTCTCATTCAGCTCCTGGGTCCTTGCTCCCTTCACCTACAATGAGGATATTGTCTGCAATGATTTTCACCCCAGGCAGCCCTGCCGGCACTTGGGTGAGTCTTCTCTGGAACAGCTCTGGTGCTGGGCTTATGCCATCTGCATGGGCAGCCATCGGTAGTGACCAAATGGTGTTGTCAGCAGGCTGGACCCTTTACCAGGCTTATGTGCCAAACCCTCATGCCTCACATCACAGACCGTAACGATTCTGGCTGTGGCGAGTTCTGGCAAGAGGTCAATTGTGGGCAGTGGATAGTGGCATCTAGTCAATGCCTGGTTCAGTGGCTTGGGTGTATGCAGATGCGTCACTTCCCGATGACTTCTTTACCTGCACCATGTTGCTTACCCAGGCTGTAGTGGTGCTAGGATACCTCAAGCTCCTTGTGTACTGGATAGCGTAGTGCCATGGGATGTTTCCTTCGTGGTAAGCACACAGGTTCCCCGGTGGGGTCTCTTTCCAGTTGCAGCTTTCCTTCAAGACGCCTGTTGCCTTTGGAAACCTCCCCAAACGCTTTTACAATTGTCTCCATTGTTCTCAGGAGACTCCTCCTTTTGTTTCTTGCACTGCAGCTACACAATTCTGACACGGCATCCTGAACAGAGCAATGGCTCATGTGGCTGTATTCCCCACGAGGGTCTGTGGCGCTTGCCATCTGTGACCCAGAAACCTCTTGGAGCCAGCTGGCAGAGAATACAGGGAGTGCATGGGGTCTGACAGGGATCCTCTCGGTCAGATACATGGATAACGGTTCACCAGAGAGGAATGTGAGGTCTCTACCACCAGCCAGTAGCCCACTGGTGGTCATAATCATTGCAAAAAACTCTGCACTGAAAATTATATTCTCAAGGTCCTGGGAGGGAGGTCACCAGGAGGTGACAGCCTTGGACATGTTCCTTGCAGGCAGGGGGTAACAGACGCTTACCTCTCAGTCTGGCCATAAGACTCCTGTGTATTGTGTGCCTCCCAAGGGATGAACCATAGAATCATTGAATATCAGGGTTGGAAGGGACCTCAGGAGGTTCTAGTCCAACCCCCTGCTCGAAGCAGGACCAACCCCAACTAAATCATCCCAGCCAGGGCTTTGTCAAGCCTGACCTTAAAAACCTCTAAGGAAGGAGATTTCACCACCTCCCTAGGTAACGCATTCCAGGGTTTCACCACCCTCCTAGTGAAATAGTGTTTCCTAATATCCAACCTAAACCTCCCCCACTGCAACTTGAGACCATTACTCCTTGTTCTGTCATCTGCTACCACTGAGAATAGTCTAGATCCATCCTCTCTGGAACCCCCCTTCAGGTAGTTGAAAGCAGCTATCAAATCCCCCCTCACTCTTCTCTTTTGCAGGATGCCAGTTTGCATACTGAGCCAGAGACCAGTGATATCTACAAGAGAGAAAATCTACAGGAACCAGGAGGGGTGGGGGTGTCCTGTTTGTAACTGAGATCAAAGGCGTAGTCTGAGAATGGAAAGAAACAAACAGGATCCTTCACCAAGGAGGCAAGCTGCCCAGTATCCTGTCTGCCGACAGTGGCCAATGCCAGGTGCCCAGAGGGAATGAACAGAACAGGGAATCACCAAGTGATCCATCCTGTCGCCCATTCCCAGCAGCCTGCAGCCACAGGAGAATCTCAGCTTCCATTTACAATCGCCAGCTAGGTTCTAGCACCCGTGGCTGCAGAGAAAAGCTAGGAAACATGGTCCCAGCGCAGCCCGAAGGCCGAGAGGCCCGACAGCAAAGGAACAGAGCCCACCCCATCTTTTTTTTTTTTTTTTTAAGTCTCATGATTTTTAAGCCAGTCTCATGGTCTGGGGGGTCTGACTCCTGGCTTGTGAACGCTGGTGGTTAGCAATGCTGCTGAAGAGACGCCTCAGGCCTTGGGGGTCCCTCCGTGCAGGGGGAATTAAGATGCCACAAGTCCTCCTTTTCTTTTTGCGAATACAGACTAACACGGCTGCTACTCTGAAACCCAGCACACGGGAACCTTCCGTTCACCACATCTTGGAGGGGATGCAGCAGTGCCCGCAGACTTGCACAGCCACCCCTAGGACAGACGCAGCACCCCATTGGACTGCCAGGGGAATCTAGGCTGGTGACGCTGTAATGACTTCCTGGGAATACGGCCCGGCCATGGGGGCAAGGCCCCTCCTCCTGAGGAAACGCCTGGGGAGCTGGAATGATGGCAGTGGGTGGGGCCGGGCACAAGGCATTACGTTCCTGCTGAGGCCGAAGGAGGAACTTCACAAACGTCTGATTTTGAAATAATTCTGCTCCCCAGCCCCCGTCCCCTCGCTCCCCTGGCGGAGGCTGTTCCTAGATCCAGCTAACAGCATAGCTGGCCGCTGAGACAGCGCAGACCGGGTGGCTATGAAGTGACAAAGGCTGAGCAGCAGGAGCCAAAAAGAACGACTCCGTCTTCCTGCAGCTTCCCTGAGTCACAAAATACAGAGGGAAGGAAATAACCTAGGGGCTAGGCACTGGGAGGCCACAGGGCCTCTCAACAGAGGGTCTGTCCGAGTCTGCAGGCAGCGTTGGACACCATTGCAAAAGGGAGGAGCACCTCTGAGATCAGAGGCAGCCCCATGGCGCTGGGCAGAGGGCAGCCCACGCAGCTCTCTGCCTGGCTCTACAAACATGGAGGCCGTTCTCGAGAGCTATTCCCAGGCAATGGCAGGGCTGGTGAGTCAGGCGGTGTCACCATCGCCAAAAGGGGCAGCAGCTTGAGTGCTGGGAGCAGGGCCTGGGTCACTGGCTGAGAAACGGAAGGGGGACGAGCCAGGGCCCTGCACGTCAGTGCCCAGAGCGATGGGATAATGGCAAGCTGGAGGGGGGTTGTACCGGGCGGACATGCAGGGACAGTGAGGCCCAATCCAGGAAATCACAGGGAGGCCAGCTGAGTTGAGCTCTTTATTACACAACCCATGTGCTGGGTGAGATGAGGCCCATGGGCGATTGGGAGTGGGTGTCAGGTGGGGGCCGTATTGGAGGATCCTGTCCTGTCCCCACACAGGCCCTGCGGTCACACTCTCGGCTCTTCCCGGTCTCTCTCTCTGGTCGGCCCTGTGGAAGAAGGGGCAGTCGGTCAGGCCAGGGGCTGGTCATGAGGCTGGGGGCAGGGAGGGAGGTGACAGCAGCAAGGACCTGCAATCCTGGACTGCCCCATGGGCGGGGGCTGGGCACAGAGATCCCGGCAGGCAGGGGGCTGGGCTCACCCCAGCACTCAGCTGTGTTTGTGTCCCCCCTGTTCCCCCCATCCCTCCCGGTGTCAGGTGCAGTCAGCGCAGTTCTGCCTTGCACGGCCTTGAGGCGGGGGCTGGGGGCACGGCTGACGTGGCTGCGCCCGGCCCTTCCTGGGCAGTCGCCGTCCTTGCAGCAGGGCTGAGTGCATGGGGCTGGGTGACCTCGGGAGCCGCCACTGGGCAAACTCCATGGCACAGAGCAGCCCCGGGGAGGAGGCAGGAGACCCAGCCGGCCAGGCCAGCAGCACCCATATCATCCCTGGGCACTCCTCTCCCCATCTCCACGCCAGCCTCCCGCAGCCCTTCACCTCCCCCCCAGAGAGCTGGGAGCTCCATGGGGGAGAGAGGGCAATCTGCACCCCCAGCTTCCGCCCAGACTCCAGGCCTCCGGGGGAGCTGGGTCACTCGGAGCAGGTCTGTGACCAGAGTGACCTTTTCAAAATGCAAAAATGAGACACATGCCAGAACCCCAGACCCCTTGTGGCCAGGCCCCCTGCCCTGCCTATTCCAGCGAGGGAAGGTTGGATAAACATGGCACTAAGGGATGCAAAGGGAGGGCCTGAGGCAGGACAGCTCGCAGGAGCGAACATCTCCGTAGTTATCTGTGAATCCTCTACAAAGAGCTCGTCTCTCACATGCTGGGCTGATGTGAGATCCTGTCTGTGCCCAGCACCTTTGGGGGCCATAACAGTAACAGCGTTTCCAACGTGTGCAGAGTGGCGAGCGGGAGGGCCAAGGGCTCGTCACAGCTACGCCCTCATGCCAGCAAAGAGTCACCTCCCTGGGTAGCCGTTTATTCTGTATAGCAACAGGAGAAGGGGAGCAGTTGCTTCAGAAGCTGAAAGCCCAACGGCCTCAGGAAGCGGCCGCTCAGTTCCTGTTCCAACGCAAAATGTAGCAACAGGATAGCAGCTTAGCAATGTGGCAACTGCCTGATCAGCTCAGAGCTTTATCCCACCCCATCCTAACAAAGCCAGGTTGGTGTGACACTCGCAATCCAGGTGCCAGCTCATGTCAGAGTCCCTGTGTCTCAGTGGAACAGTGACAGACACACAGCTGGAATCAGTCTGGCTCACCTGTGCGTTAGTGTTGTTAAAACAGGGATTAGAATGATAGGAATCTCTTTAGTGTTTCTTCTTTATTGAATGCTGGTGTGTTGCTGCCTGCATTCATCTCACTTATAGCATCTGTATCCCACAGTGTAAGGTAATATTTGAGCGGTTTTACGGTGAGCCTCTGTGACTGTATCTGTACTGTGACTGTGTAACTCACCAGACAGGAGAAAGACAAGAACAGTGTGAATGGCTGATCTCCTACAGAAGATGTTATGTCCTGCCCAACAGGAAAGGTCCATTGACACCAGATGGACTATTGTGGGACATTAAAGAGGACAAACAATGTTCATTGTTTTGCCCTCCCCACCCCCGTGAAGATGAGTCATCCAAGTGGATTCCTCCCATCAGCTGAGGCTGAAGCTGAGAACACAAGGAAGGATGGGGATAAAAACCCCAAACAGAAGGAACTGATGATCATGATGCAGTTTGGACTCTGGGGTGGCAAGGTTTCTAGGCATAAGCAACAGATCCACAGCTGCTCAGCCAGGGTTAGTCCTGAAGGGCATGTAGAGCTTATTCATGATAGAAGCTTCTGTTTCCTTGTGAAAGCTGAGATAGTAACTCATTTGTATTTCTATGTTTACTTTCTTTAACCTTGTAAATAACTCTCTGGTTTCCTTTTCCTAGTTAATAAATCTTTAGATCGTTTATTATAGGATTGGCTAGAAGCGTTGTCTTTGGTGTGAGATCTGAGGTGCAGCTGATTTGGGGTAAGTGACTGGCCCTTTGATATTGACAGTAAGGTGAATATTGCTGTGATTGATGGTGTAAGGAACCAGCTATCACAAAGGTAAGCTCACCTGGGTGGCAAGACAGACCGGCGTACCCAAGGGGCCTGTCTGTGATGCCCTGGTTAGGCTGTTATGGTGCTTGAGGAGTTCACACTGGATAACTGGTTGGTGAACCCCAGGTAGAGAGCTCACAGCCCGGTGGGGTTTGTGCTCCGGTTCCTAGCAGTGCCCCGGGGCTGGTTCTCACGCTAGGGAGGCCCTGCTGCCAGGGGCACAGTTAGGATTCGACTGCCAGAACTGGCCATAGGCCCTTGTATTTAGTCCATTTCCCAACACAAACAGCGCCGCGGACTTTCCTTCAGCGATACGGGAACGGCCCCTAGTGTATTTCCAGCACTGTCCCTCTGACCTGGGCAGCTCACCACCCACCTGAGGCCCCGTCTACGCCAGCAGGCTTCGAGCAGCACCGTTGTCCCAGATCGCTCGTGAAGCTGCTCTGTGCCGAGAGGAGAGAGCTCTTCCCTTGGCACAATTAATCCATTCCCAACGAATGGCAGTAACCGTGTCGGTGGGACAGCATCTCCTGCCCGCTCAGAGCTGTCCACGCTGGCACTTCTGTCTGTGAAACGTACGTTGCTCAGGGGGGTGTTTTTTCACACTTCTGAATAACAGAAATGATACTGGCCAAAGAGGTAGTTTAGACATAGCCTCCCAGCTCCTCCACAGGCCCTGAGACATCCGGCTCTGGTGCCAAATTGTTCCCAGTGCCCTGGCAGTGCCACAGACGACCTCGTCCCATGCCTTGGTGACTGAGCCGTAGGAGTCGGTGCGACTGTAGGCTGAACATGGGCCGGGCCCCACAAGGGCTTGCGGGTCACATTAGCTACAGAGCACGGAGAGATAGCTGCTCAGCCTCCCCATTGAAATCTAACTGGGACCCAGTCTCCAGCTGGGGTGGGAGATGGGGCTAAAAGAGGACTTGGTCACCAGGGCATATCTGAACCCTGAAAAAACATTTCTTAATGGTCACTTCATTTACATATTAGTTGAAGAACCTTTAGTGCCGGATTTTCAGAAACTATGGTTAGGCAGACAAAATGTACGTGCAAAGCCCTCATTTGCTAACAGTTATGGCCCGTGGATGCAGACTCTCAGTCTACGCGTGCCTACGACAGCTCTTGGCCGTTTGCATGCCACGCTCCTCGCAGGCACAGCCAGGGGCGTCGGCCTGTGAATACTTATGGCAAAGATTTGTATGCGGAACATTTTATGAACTGATTTCCATGATCGTCTCCCCTGCCCTGGCCTCCCACAGCAGGGCTAGGATCCAGCCCCAGAACCAGCAACCTCTTTCGCTTCAGTCCCGTTTCCCACCCTGCACTCCTGGTGACCAGTCCGGCCGGCAGCTGCGTTAATTCTCAGCCTGTCCCAGCTTGCTGAGCTGCCCAGCCCAGGCCGGCGGGTTCACACGCTCGGGCCCCTTACCGAGTGTCCTGCAGGCCTGCTGGCACGCCCGGAGAGTTTTGAAGTTGTTCCCGTTGCCCCGGCAGCCGCCATAATAGAATCTCTGGCACGTCCCGTAGGCCGGGTTGTAGAAGAAGCGAACGAGCAGTTGTGCGCAAGGGCCCCTCTCAGGCGGGAGTCGGCAAACGTCACCTGGAGAGAGGAGAGGGGTTATAAGGAGGGCAGAGGTCTGCAAGGGAGCTCAGGCTAGTGAACCCAGACTGGTGGGGAAGTGGGGATGTCTCTGGCCCACAGGATGCCTGGCCAGTGCTGTGGGGCTGGGGGCTCCACAGGCCCCTCTATCTTTGCTGCTGGTACCTGTTCCAGGGGCCAGGCAGCCAAGGCTACAGCCAGTAAAGCAGCATTTCTCCCTGTTGGGACAGTCCCTGTCGTCTCTGCACTTATTCTTCTCACACGGCGCGAACGTCTGCAGCACTGTCCTCTTGGGGCAGGTGCCAGGTTTGGCTGGAAAAGGGAAACAACAAGAGCTCATGTCTCTGTGGGGAACAAACCCCAAACGCACAGGCCTGCACCACGGACTGGAGCCAGGCCCCAGATCTGACCTCTGGCCAAGGCTTTTCCTTGCCGTCCTGGTCTGCGCCTCTCCAGGACAGGTCCCTGCAGCTTCCCCCCAGACCCTCCCACCCCACGCTCAGCCGCATGCCCCCGGGCCTTAGACCCCCTTCAGTCAGTCGCCTGCCTGTCCCAGCTCTGTCCCTTGCCCCACGTCCATTCTCAGACCCGGCCCCACTTGTGTAGTAGTTTGAATTACTCAGAATGTCCGGGGGGCTCATCTAATAGGCAGGACCAAGTACCCCGCCTTTGGTCCCCCACTCCCAGGTGCGAAGTTACCTGGCACAGCCCACGTGCACTGCACATGGCATCCCTGGCTGCAGCACTTCCGGCCCAGTCCACACTCCCTGTCGTTATTGCATTCCACAAGGCAGATGGTCATAACGCTGGGGTCGAACTGCGGGCAGTACCCTGGGTTTACTGGGGAACAGAACAGCGAGAGAGCAGGGTCAGCGTTGTCTGGACTCGTTCCAATGGGAAGGCTGCTATGTAACCACATAGTGCTCCTGCAGCCGCGAGCAGGCTGATCCCCCACCCGCCCAGATCGCTGGCCTTGCACACACCGCCCCCTTCAGAGTGTCCGCTAAGGTCTCTGTCTGCAGGGCTGCAGGGGGGCCTGGAAACGTAGGACTGGGAGGGATCCGAGAGGTCTTCTAGCCCAGTCCCCTGCACGGAGGCAGGACTCCGTATTATCTGACCGCCCCTGACAGGGGTTTGTCCAACCTGCTCTTCAAAACCTCCAGTGACGGAGATTCCAGCCTCCTGGGCAATTTATTCCAGTGCTTTACCACCCTGCCAGGACGGTTTCCCTAATATCTAATCTAGTGTCTTGAGTCACTGAAGGCAACTATTGCAGAGCCCCCGGGGCCACCCAGATCAGGGTCTCCTGCCTTCTGGGTCAAACGCAGGGTGAGAATGGGCAGTTGCTGCTGGACTGGGCAGGAAGCAGCAGACACGGTCCATTTATCACCGTAGCATCTGAGCACCACCGTTGTAATCAGGATAATCCGAGATGCCACCTCCCCATCAGGATCCTCATACTCTGTGTCACTCCCGCACACCAAGGAGGCCCTGCTGGGCCCCAGTTCTGACCATCCCTTGGCTGGGTGGGGGCCAGGCCCATGCCCGTTGGGGTGGGGTTGGGCCCTGGAAGCAGGATTCATGGGGCTATCGTGGCTGCAGGTGTCCAGACTTTCTCAGGGGGCTGTGGCCACCTTGTTAATATTAAAATAGGGAGCCCAAAGGGGTGGGCGTGGCCATGGGGTCACCAGGCCTTGGCTCTCGGCTCCCAGCACCGATGGAGTGGGGTGGAGAAGGAGAGCCCCTCACCTCCTAAGGGGAGTCTGCACTCCATCCCGCAGCCGGTGCTGCAGCAGCGCTCGGATCCGGGACAGTCAGCGTCACTGGAGCAGAACATAAGGCAGTTCACAGCCCAGTGAATGGGAGCGGGGCACTCGCCCTTTTTCACTGGAAACAAATGGGAAGAGAACCGGGGTTACAGAGCGTGGGGCAGACACATCAGCCAGGCCAGGGAAAGAGAAGCAGCCTGAGGCAAGGGGGTCATATCCAGGCAACGGACTCTCCCTCCCTTTACCCCCTCCCCCAGGGACGGAGGAATCTAACTGCTCACCCCCCAGGGGTGACCTCCTCCGCTCCCCAAAGACAGCCGGAAAACTTGCAATTTCAGGGCTTGTTTTCAACTGCATGTCACTAGAGACACAGGCCTCAAGGAGGAGGCTGGTGGGGAGGGATCCAATGGGCATGCTTTGAGATGGGCACGGGAATTAAAGATGAACCCCAGCCTGAGCCAGTCCCACCTGGGGGGGGCCACACGGCAAGCCCCCACCACAGCAGGGCCCTTACATGACTGAAACGAGTGTAAAGTCAGAGCAATCAAGACAAGGGAAACAAAGCAACAGAGAGAAGGCCCCTCTCCCAGGGTGAATCCTCTTTGCTGTGCTCTCTACCCTGTTCCCCAGCAGGGTCTGTTGTAATATATTCTTGTGGGTCTGTAAAGATCCTGGCTTATGACACAGCATCGTATAATACAGGTCAACCCCCGCATCCCGCCCAAGTGGGGGTTGGAAACAAGGGCACCCAGAGGTGCCATCCCCTCCTTCTGCCTTTGTTCTGCAAAGGCAGGACCAGCCCAGAGGTCTGGCTCTTGGGCTTTTACATGTCACAGGTACGGAGATAGCTGGGAGAGCTTCCCACCAACAGCAGGGCTGGGAGGCAGCTCCGGGCCTTAGGCTCTGGCTCCCCTCGAGAGCTCACAGCTGCACCGACGCAGGTCTCTAGTGCACCTGCTCTAAGCCGACAGGAGTCGCTCTCCCATCTACTTAATTAATCCACCCCTAACGAGCGGTTGTAGCTTTGTCAGCAGGAGAAGCTCCCCATCGGCTGTCCACACCATTGCTTAGGCTGGTGTAACTTATCTCACTCAGGGGTGGCTTATTCACACCCCTGAGCAACGTAAGTTCTGCTGGATAAGCCGTGGTGTAGACTAGTGGTTTTCAACCAGGGGTACGTGAACCCCTGGGGTACACAGAGGTCTTCCAGGGGATACATCCCCTCATCTAGAGATTTGCTTAGTTTTACAAGAGGCTACAGAAACAGCACTAGCGAAGTCAGAACAAACTAAAATTTCCTACAGACACTGACTTGTTTATACAGCTCTATCTGCTCAACACTGAAACGTACGCAAAATCTTTATATTCCAGTTGACTTATTTTGTCATTGTCCGGTCACAATGAGAAAGTCAGCCAGTTTTCAGTACTAGTGCGCTGTGACCCTTTGGGATTTTTACATCGGATTTTGCAAGCAAGTCGTTTTTAAGCGAGATGAAACTTAGGGTACGCAAGAGAAATCAGCCTCCTGAAAGGGGCACAGGAGTCCAGAAAGCCTGAGAGCCAGTGGTGTAGACATAGCCTGAGTATCAATCTGTGTGACTGATACCCTGTCACGGGCATACGCAGCGAGGGGTCAGGAGTGAGCTGCACCGAACAACAGATGGCGCCTGCCCTGACCCATCTCCACACTCCCAGGTACACGTGTTGACAGCAGGGCGCTCTGCTGCACAGGACATGCTGGACTGAGCAACGAGGGAAAAGTGGCTTCGCCAACACGTGTTCACTAGTATTTGCCCTTTGAAGAGTTGAGGCAGCCGCTGGGCATCAGGAAAATATTAGCAAAAAGAAAAGGAGTACTTGTGGCACCTTAGAGACTAACCAATTTATTTGAGCATGAGCTTTCGTGAGCTACAGCTGATGAACATCTGATGAAGTGAGCTGTAGCTCACGAAAGCTCATGCTCAAATAAATTGGTTAGTCTCTAAGGTGCCACAAGTACTCCTTTTCTTTTTGCAAAGACAGACTAACACGGCTGTTACTCTGAAACCTCTCATTAAAGGAGACAGTTCACAACCACCCCAGCGTCTCACCCCACGGGTTTTCCCCCCTATCTGGTGAATCCATCTAATAACACACATGCAACGATGCTCGTAGAGACTTGATAACGAGTCAGCGCAGCTCAGCTGGCAACAAACATGACTAGGGCCGGACAGCCTAAGGGGTTCCAGGGCAAAGAGGCCCCGGGGAAGCCCGGACAGCAGGAAGGCTGCATGCAGGAAGGGAGTGTTTATGGATTGTTGGCAGTGGGGAAGGAAGGTGCTGGGTGCATGGGGCTCAGAGGCAGCGTGGGGCGTAGGAGGTGGCAAAGAAGCCCAAGGCTCCCCAAGTTTCAGTGGGGGGCCAGCAGCCCCCTGACACCAAGATGCTGCAGGCGGGTGTTTGACTTACTGGTTACAGCATTTCCCCAAATTACCACTGGGTTTTCTCCTTTTTATAAAAGCTTCTTTTGTAAGACATAGACTTGGTTCCTGGGAGTGGGGTAGGGCTGTCTCCTGAAAGCCCCCGGGGTGATTTATCATCTCCCAGAGAGGCGACGCCATCAGAGCCTGGGCACCCCCCAGCTCTCCTTTGACGTGCTGGGGCAGTTTGAACACAAGGCTGCCAGGAGCCCCTGCAGCAGGGCATTGCAGCCTGTATGTGCGAGTTCTCTGCCTGTCTGCATTGGGGACACCCTGGCTCCCCCAGGCACGTTGCCACCGCAGACAGCCGCTCCACTTCTGAAACACAAGGGGCATGCCTTGATTCAAGGGTCGGGGGTGGGCTAGCTGGGCCCAAAGGCTCTCCTTAACTCCTGCTGTGCTAGCTGACAGTTTCTCTGTTTCATCAGACTGGGTCAGACCAATGGTCCATCTAGCTCAGTACCTGTCTCTTGACAGGGGCCAATGCCAGATGTTTCAGCAGGTCTGAGTAGAACAGGTAATCATCAAGTGACCCATCCCCTGTCGTCTAGTCCCAGCTTCTTCCAGTCAGAGATTTAGGGACACCCAGAGCATGGGGTAGCATCCCTGACTGGCTAATAGCCATTGATGGACCTATCTTCCAGGAACTTATCTAATCCTTTTTTTAACCCCATTAATTTTTGGCCTCCACAACATCCTCTGGCAACAAGTTCCACAGATTAACTGTGCGTTGTGTGAAGAAACACTTCCTTATGTTTGTTTTCAACCTGCT